ATGTTAGGAGATATATATTTGTCACTTATCTTAAACTTTGTATTTTGCATTTTGTTTTTAGGCTTTTGGTTTATTGCTAATTAGTGAATACTTACCATATGTCAAGTCCTTTCCACCTGTGACCTGATTTTCTTCAGAAAGGATGTGTGTTGATTATTAGTATTTTGTTTGAGGCAGGTATAACTGCGTAGTTGGGCTGTCCTCAAGGGGTATAACTTTCTGTCAACTTTCCACAGCTGACTTAACATTCTCTTTTTCCAATAACAAATCTGGACACCAATTCATGTAGACTATGACTGTCTGAGGCCACTCAGAAATTAGCATTGATGTTGGTGAACTCTGAGAGAATAGAAACACGTTAAAAATACTTTTATGGAGTTTTTGTGCATTTCATATAATATTAATCAAATTTAGACCCCCCCAATCTTCACCCCCATACCCCGCAACTGGATTTCATGCATTCTATCATATATGTAAATTACTATCCAGTCAAGCATTTGTACCCAGATGTCCCTCTGTGTAAGTTCATCCACTGGAGTCTAGTCTGCCTATCTAGAGTCACTCTCTTAAAGAAGATCTATTCTTCTTCACCTAGCAGCAATCAATTGCCAATAGTTTCTTGGCTAGGGTTGGAGCCTGCTCCCCATTTCCATTGTTCTGTGCTGAGTTTTTGATTGAGTCAGCATGGGTCTTGTGCATGCCGTCACCATTGTTGCAAGTTCATATGAACAAGTTCCCAGTGGTCTAAAAGCTTCTTTTTCCTTATGTTTATGCACCAACCCTGGCTCTTACAATCTTTCTTCCCCATCTTCCACAATGGTCCTTGAACTGTGGGTGGGTGAAGTTTAATATAGGAGTCCATCCAGGGACATCCACTCTGTAGTCTCTTGTTCTCTAAAACTTGGCCAGTTGTGGCCTTCTGTGTGCATCACACTCTGTTGTATGAGGAAGCTTTGCCAGTAAGAGTTAAGGGATGTTTTAGTATTCTATCTATCCTCTTATCTGCCATGTTCCATGAGCCTTAGGTATAGAGGTTCCACTGTAGAGGTGTCACTTAGGGCTGGGCATCTCTCAGAGTCATTTTTTTGACATTGTATCCTGGCATCATGAACAATGGCACAGAAGCAGCATCTCTGAATATTGGATACGTAAATGCACAAATGAGTGGGTACATCATGAATCAGTGTCTGGTCCTGAGCAGGTCCAGAGGCCCTGCCTTGCTATTTTGCTGTGTTGTTCAGGTCAGTTAGTGAAGGGAGAAGACACTGGAAATTCTGTTCCTCATCACACACTCATTCAGCCTCCACTAGTATAGACTCTATTTCTCTGTCTCTCTGTCTCTCTGTCTCTGTCTCTCTCTCTGTCTCTCTCTGTCTCTCTCTCTGTCTCTCTCTCTCTGTGTATTAAGACTTTTGGGCAATGCAAATGTTTTCTGAGTCATCAGTGAGCTTATTTTACATCGTTGAGCACAGATCTCAATCTATTTACGATAGGTTGATCAATGGTATG